CTAGAATAAATGAGGAAGAGACGAAGACGAAGCAAGTGCACACACCTTGCTGCTAATTCTTTTACACACTGTGTCGATTACACGCACGCGTACGAACAGAGAGGTGTCTCGTCGCGCGTTGTTTCTTTTTTTTTTCATTTTTTTCTCTCTTCGCACACACACACACACGCACGCACGCACACACACACACACACACACACACACACACACACACACACACACACACACACACACACACACGCACGCGCACACACACACACACACACACTTTCGTCCGTTATTATTTCATTTCTCGTTATGGTTCTCTCTCTCTCTCTCTCTCTCTCTCTCTCTCTCTCTCTCTCTCTCTCTCCCTCTCTCTTCTTTTTTTATACATTACATTAAAATATAACACCAATCTCGAGGCTTACGTTGTACATGTACATGTGTTGGTTTTACATTAGTATGATCGTTCGAGAACAGTCTCGCCGTGAAAATGGTTTAGAAGATTTCCGAATTCGGTATTACGTGCTCTCTCTTTCTCTCTCTTTCTCTCTCGCGCGCGCTCTTTGCTCTTGATAATTGACGAGATATATATATATTTATTTATTAAGCGCCGCTGATAAAGAGACGACTGAACGGCCGACGAGACGGCGTCGAGGAACGAACGGAGGACTCGGCGGCAAAGTTTGACTCCGCGTTTGTCGCCAAGTGTCACAATCTCCTTTGCGCGACGATACGGGCGATACGGAGTCGCCGAGATCGTCGGCCGGAAGGGAAATTCCCGGAGGTGAGCTGCTCTCGAGATGACATGCCTCCGCGGGGAGGCGTGGTGGTGTTCGTGTTCTCGCGGCGCGGTCTCGTCGACGCGGTCGGTCCTCGAATTGATTCGACGTGCACAGTGCTTTGACTTTGAAAAATCGCGGTCGGAAAGAAAAGCTGCCCGAGCTGTACCCTTCGCCGAAGAACGTGCGTTCGCGCGCGCGTTACCTCGGTGTCACGTGGTCGAGAAAAAAAAAAAAGAAGAAACGGAGCAGCCGAGCAGCGCTCGATGCTCGGCCGGCAGCGCGCGCGATTCTCCTTCTGTGTTGCGCGAGGACAGAAACGAGGGAGCAGCGTGAACAGCAAAATATCGGTTTCACAGCCATTAGAGAGAGTTTAGGTGACTCGAGTAAAATTATGGACCCGTGCGACTTCTTTGGAACTTAGACCGTGTGTGCAGCGCGTTTCGTTCGTTCGGTGCGTACGTGCGTAGCGGCGAAGACGCGAGGCATCGGTAACGCCGAACTCGGAAGTCCTCCGGAGAGACGGATTCCGTAAAACCGATTGGTCGAAAATATTATTCTAGAATCGTTTATAGGGTACAAAGTATAGAGTGTGAATCGATTATCTTTAGACAATTGTAACGGTAAAAATGGACATTGTCTTATTGCGGGATGGAATAGGCTGTGTAAGCTCTGTCAATGCTAAATGCTCCGCTGCAGCTTTTTTTGTCTTTTCGAACATCGTTTCTCCCGATAACACAATGACTGCTCGACACCGTGCAACCCTTTATAAGGCCGCCGTTGAGGAAGTCCCGGCTGACGCGGCAACGTCTCTCTCGCGTCTTCTTACTTTTCTCCT